TTAAGAAATGAGAAGAATTAATTTACTATGGGAAATCGTGAAATATACGGCAAGTTTTCTTTGAATATTTAATGTTTACGAATTTTGTTGCTTTTACTTTTTGCCTAAAAACATGAACTGTTTTCCTTTTCAACGAAGCTCTAAGTTTCATAAATTACCGTTTAATTTGAGAAAAAATCTTAGAATGTAAAGGCGAACAAATTGATTTGACGACTGAACTGAAATTACCTAAAAATTTGATTTATTTGTATTAAACCTATTCAGTAGCGTATCCAGTCCGACGATTTAGTCCGGTTATGCAAATATTCTCGTGTTCATTGACTGTGAAAACAATCAATTTCTAAAGAAATGAATAATGATAATACTTTTGAATTTGCATAGCGGGACTAAACTGTCGGGCTGCCTATGCCACTGAACTTATTATGTTTTATTACTGAGTGAAAACAGTTTATCAAAAAAGAATGTAGTTTAGTTGAATGAACATTTCAAAACATTTTACGAAGCGTTTCAAGTTAAATTTTTCACTAAATCAAAGCTCACAAAATGCAAAATAAAATACCCACAGTATATATTTCGAAAATTTATTGCCTTGTACAGTTGAAAGTATGAATTGAATCTTTCAACTATTTTGCAGTTTTGTACAAAAAATATGAAAAAATTAAAAATTTAAGAATATCGTGTTGTCATGGCAACACTTGAGCGCGAGCCTGCGTTCAGTGTTAGTCATTTCTGAGTACTTCATGTTAATTTAATGTTTGGAAAGTATTAGCGAGGGGTTACTGCATGTATGTATTTCTAGTAGAAAGAGTAAATGAATCTGAGGCTTGTGAAATTGGCAAGGTACACTATCTACCACATTATGCCGTCATACGCAGAGACAAGGAAACAACATGTTTGAGGGTAGTTTACGATGTGTCATCTAAGTCTAACGGAATCTCGCTGAGCAGTTGTCGGATGAATTTGGAGCTTATTTTGTAGCATCCATTTACGAATATTTTCAAGATCAAGGTTTATTTTAATAACAATGTCATCACAATCTTTAGAGGATAGATAAATTTCTGTGTCATCTGCGTAGAGGGATGGAGTTGAATATTTTAAGGAGTCAGGCATATCGTTTATGTATAATAGGAATAATAAAGGACCCAAGATAGATACCTGCGGTACACCACATTTTATCTTTCTCGGGCTCGATAAATGACCGTTTACCAGACATTGCTGCTCTCTATCAGATAGATAAAACTTGAACCAATTTAGTGGAATTCCTGATATACCAAAGTAGTTAAGCATCTTTTTTTAATAGTATTTCATGGTTTATACAATCAAAGGTTGCGTTCCTTGTCGACGCTTCGAGGGAAAGCCTTATAACCCAGCAGACCCACCACCATTACCCAAATCCAGAATAGTAGAAGACCCACCATTCGCATGTACCGGAATTGACTTTACTGGACCATTATATGTTAAAAATGAAGATAAATCCAGCTTAGAAATGGCGAAGACGTGGACATGTTTATATACATGCGGCGTAATACGAGCTGTCCACCTCGAACTTGTCCGAGAAATGTCGACGGAAGTCTTCTTGAGAAGCTTTAAGAGATTCACCGCAAGACGCGGGGTTCCAGCCAAGGTTATATCGGACAACGCTATAACCTTTATCTCAGCCGCAAAGAAATTATGCGCCCTTTTTGATCTACCTGAAGTGAAATGTTATCTATCTTCCAAGAAAATCCAATGGTACTTCAACATAGAAAAGGCTCTCTGGTGGGGAGGGTTTTTCGAACGATTGGTAAAATCAGTAAAACGATGTTTGAAAAAGGTTCTAAAGAATTCGAAGGAAACATACGATGAACTACTGACTATTGTAACCGAGGTCGCAGCTATCCTTAACTCCAGACCGATATCAAACGTGTCATCCGAAAATATCGAAGAACCGCTTACTCTTTCGCCCTTGTTGTGTGGTCGACGTCTTCTATCATTACCCAACATTGTCAATGACAACGACGAAAATGATCCAGAATGGCAACCAAACAAGGGCGAGATTGTCCGTAAAGGAGTACATCTGGAAAAACTAATCGAACATTTTTAGAAAAGATGGCGTAATGAATACCTATTGGAACTTAGAGAATCGCACCGCTCGAGAATCAAGAACTCTCCATGCACAGAGAAAAGTTGTCCGTGTAGGAGATGTGGTTGTCATTCGTGATGACACGCAAAGAGTTTCGTGGAAAATACTGTAGGTCGAGTCGAAGAACTGATTACTGGTAAGGATGATCAAGTCAGAGGAGCGGCAGTCAAGATTCGTAGCAAGGGAATGAAACCTAGCAGACTAAGAAGACCAATACAGGCGCTGATCCCGTTGGAGATTAATGACGCAGAAAACGAAGACGCTGAAAGAGAAAACCCATCCAAGAAGAAAGACGATCCAGAGGAAACAGTTGAAACATTAAAACCAAGAAGAAAGGCAGCCGTCGCAGCAGATGAACTACGTAGGCAGTGGCTATAACAGCTAAGTTGAACTGTTAACATTTTGAACCTTTAATATTCCAGTATAGAAGATTAGCTATTATTATGTTATTAAGAATTTGTTGACATTATGCCGTTGATCGATGAGGTTATATCAATCAATGGGGGAGTGTGAGAGAGTAATTAGAAGTAGAACGTTCTGTAAGAACAATGTAGTGGCGACCACGAGGACAGTATATTCAAGTTGGCGAATTCGGTAAAATTATTGTTTGAATAAGTCTATATATGTTTGCGTATATTTTATCATTTATTATTAAAAAGAAACAAATTCAATGTCCCGCGGAATCCTTTTGATCCTAAGTCTCTTAAGCCGGTTTTCCACTAGGCGGAATTTTCCGCATGGAGCGGAATATCTCTTTGTCTTTTCTAATTTGTTCCACAAGAGAAATCACGAGACAATGAAAAATTCCGCTCCGCGTGCAAAATTCCGCCTAGTGGAAAACGGTCTTTAAGGACCGCTCATCATTTATTGTACAGAGGAGCATTGAGGAGAAACTGGCGGGGGGGGGGGGGGACCTGAAAGGGTATTTTTAAAAATGTATCACAAAACAACTTAATAACAAATAACAATGTTTATAGACCTTTAGTATTCAGAAATGGAAGCCAAATAAAAAGTCTCTTATGTTCATGTAAATAGACAATTCCCATTATAGACTAATTTTAGAAGTAGGCAAAGAGATGCAAATCAAGGCCGGATTTTGGTGAAAATAGTGGGGGAGATGGAAAAAAATTTTAGGGGAGGTGCAGCGGTCTAGCTCACAACTCCCATGGAAAGTTACCAGGAAAGTTTACAAGACTGCAATCTTGCCCTTTATTACAATTGCTACAAACTTTCTTTCAAAACATTGCATTAAAGGGGTACTTGACACTAGAGGTGTGCATCGGAGCGGACGTTTATAATCCGACAATTGCCTAATGTTAAAATCCGATCAGAAATTGTCTAGTCCGAATCTGATTCTATCCGAGTTTTGATAAACAATCCCGATCCGATAATTCTTTAATAAATAAATTTCTCATTCAAGTTGAACTATGGAAATAAATAAATATAAGAGCAAGAAAGACATGGACAAGTAGTAATACCCCCCACTATGGAGACCAAAGGGATGCCGCCAATGACGTCACGCTGCTCCGAAAGTAATTAGTATGCAAAATATGTGACGTAACTTTGCTGGCCCTAACCCTAACCCTGGGCCAGGTAGCACGACCAATTAACGCGGACACGCCTGGGCCAAATATCACTTTTCTGGGCCGGCCTGAACCAAATGTGACAGGTAGCGCGACCAATTAGCGCGGGAAAGCCTGGGCCAAATGTGACAGGCAACGCGACCAAATGTCCGAAACAGTCATTAAGCAGAGCTCGGAATTTTCAGTACAAAATACAACGCTTGCTATAGTCATATTGCCATTTCGTTGTGAAAGCTGTACGATGGAGTGTCTGCACGGAAAAACCGCATCTTACAATTTATTGGAAGGAATATATGCGAATGCAGTCGCACATGAAGTTCAAAGACTTTGTGTGGAATCCTGTAATGGTTGTCAAGTCGGTCATCCTAGTCAAAGACAACATGACTGCCTCATGATGAACGAAAACGAACGATGGCAAATGTATGGTTTACAAGCGATCGAACGCGTGAATGGTAAGCGTATGGTTTGGAACGAATTCGCTGAGCAATGAGGGTACTAAAACTGGCGGTTGACAGAGATGTACTCGAACATTTACAGCAACTGGAAAAAGACCCAGATTCTACGTTTGTCGATTCATTGATGGAACTACATCAGAACACTGAGAACCACGAACTACAATGTATACTGAACTATTTGTTTCATTGGAGATTAGAAGACCCGCTCGAGTCAACAGCTGAAACGTTTTTTTTCGTACCCACCGAGTTACATGTATTATGTGAAGGCGACGGGTGAACGATTTAGAAGTTTTGAGGCAGATCATAAGAAAGCTTATCAAGGATTCTTGGAGAAAAAACTTGTAGAACAGTTTAACAAACAGTCTTAGTTGTAATATTTTTTGACGCTATCGTCTGTTATTTGTATTAATAAACATGTTTTAAACTTTGCAAATTTGCGTTGTTATGCGTTGCTAAGTCATTAGGAGGTGTATAGGTAATTAAGAGGATTAAGGCAATACGAATTTGCATAACTAAGTGTATCCCGATGGATAGATAGGGATTATTTTTAACGCCAGTGTATACCTTAAAATCAGGCGCGTGGCTTTGCGGGTGCATGCATATATTAACGTACAACATATTTGTACACGGATCTTTTCGCGCGGGCGGAAAGAGCGGGCTTTGCCGGCAAAAATTACACAATATTTCAGTTTTTAAATTTATTTCTTCAAAACGTTTTACAAAATTTAGTACGGTCTACTTCTAAGAGCGTAACGTCTAGGTGTTTTTGTTATTTTTAAAGAGTTCTCATATTCTTGTCTATCTTCTGGGGATAACTTTGCAAGTTTTTCCGGCTTCATTGGAATATATTTTGGTCGGTCGCTCAATATAAAACGTTCATAATCCTCTCGTGCTTCCGGAGTCATTCGCGCTAGGTCACGTTCGGTCCAATCTGCTGCATATTTTATTTGTCCATTTTAAGTGTGAACTCCATTCCACCCGTCTTGGTGTTAGACGTACCATACGAACATAGCTCGCAGAAACCAATGACATGTGAAAACAATAGAGGTGACTGTTCATCACATATCATACATTGAGCGTCTTTGCCCCAGTAGAAATCTTTCCACGAACATCTTGGGCACTTCATTAAGTATACAATGTGACCAGTCTCTTCACCACAATGGTTACAAGCTAGTTTCTCGGACTCATCATCATTATCATCACCATCATTATCCTCATTATCATCATATTCGCTTTCATTATCACTCTTGTCAGATTCCATGTTCTCTTCACCAGATTCTCTCTCAACATCACTCTCAGATTGTGGCATTTCATGTTCCTTCTTTGCCATTTTTGGCAATAAATGCTCATTTTTAATTAATTTAAATCTTTATTAACCCCTGCTTCTACTAAACCTTTTGTAAACAGGTCAAGCCCTCGTGGTTCAGGAATGTGAGAGTTGTATGGTAAAAGTGCGTATTGTAAAAGGTTGTCGATGTTAGTACCAGCAATGTCTCTGCCATGATAAACAATCTCCCCCTGAGGATTCCAAGTTAATATATCGCTTGATATAAGAATAGAATGTAGAATTGTTTCTGCTGTAGCTTTTTTGACATTATTGATGAGATACAAAAGTATATCTTCAATGCGCCAATGTCGCGGAGATATTTTACTCTCGATGTTCATTGTTGAAATGATGTAAAAATTGTAGTCACAGGGCTTTTATACAAGTTCAGCCAGGCTTTCCAAAATAGGACTTAGTAATAGTCCAAGGAAACCTTCACCACGTTGAACGAGTATCCGTTTTTTTCTTCTTCCACATTTTCCTCTATCTGCCAACCTAAGCATTTCATTTTTGTAAGGTCGGAGTTTCTTCATCACATGCTTCGGCATTAAATATTTTCTTTTCATAACGTTTTCTACACAGAGACACAGGCAGTGTATTTGTTCGGCGGTTGCTGTTTCCAGTAGTGCTTGTTGTTGATCAGGCTCGGACGTGCCCAACAATTCAAGATATGGCTTGTGCCTTAGAAGATTGATCATTTCTGTTCGACGGTTTGGAAGCAAATGAGTAAAACACAACAATAAGGAAGCTTATATCGGAAGAGAGAAAGCAATTTAGACAAGGCTCCGAGTCTGAGGAGCCCGGAGCTGGCTCTGAGCCTAAGGAGCTCGGCTCCGAGCCTAAGAAGCTTGGGTACGAGCCTAAGAAGCTTGGCTCCGAGCTTAAGGAGCTCGGCTACGAGCCTAAAGAGCTGGCTCCGAGCCTAAGGAGCTGAGCGTAAGGAGCTCGGCTCCGAGCCTAAGGAGCTGGCTCCGAGCTTAAGGAGCTCGGCTCCGAGCCTAAGGAGCTCGGCTCTGAGCCTAAGGAGCTGGCTGCAAGCCTAAGGAGCTCGGCTCTGAGCCTCAGGAGCTGGCTGCAAGCCTAAGGAGCTCGGCTCCGAGCCTAAGAAGCTCGGCTCTGAGCTTAAGGAGCTCGGCTCTGAGCCTAAGAAGCTTGGCTCCTAGCCTTAGGAGCTCGGCTCCGAGCCTAAGGAACTTGGCTCCGAGCCTTAGGAGCTCGGCTCCGAGCCTAAAGAGCTGGCTCCGAGCTCGGCTCCGAGCTTAAGGAGCTCGGCTTCGAGCCTAAAGAGCTGGCTCCGAGCCTAAGGAGCTGACTCCGACCCTAAGGAGCTCCGAGCCTAAGGAGCTCCGAGCCTAAGGAGCTGGCTGCAAGCCTAAGGAGCTTGGGTCCGAGACCAGGAAGTTGGCTACGAGATACTAGTTATATAAACTCGGTTTCTATTTGAAAGATTTATTATCTAACTATTCGTCATAGAGTAAACATGTCTCATTCATGTCATATCTGTGGAAAATATTTCTCTAAACCGTTCAATTTAAATCGACACAAACAAAAAGTGCATGATCAAAAACCAACCGACAACATTCGCATGACGGCTAATGAATCTGCAGTTTTGCAGCATCCTTTTACGTGTATCGTAGCCGGGTGTACACAAAGCGGCAAGACTGTATGGGTGAAATCTCTCCTAGAGAGCGCACAGAAAACTATAAGTCCACCTCCTCAACGTATCATTTGGTGTTATGGTCAATGGCAACCCTCCTATTTTGATATGATGAGAACGATGCCTGGAATCGAGTTTAATCAGGGCATCCCCGAAAACATCGACAACGCAGATTACTTGGACGTATCGCAACGGAATTTGATCGTATTGGACGACCTTATGGCTCAATCTGGCAAAGATAAATGTATTTCTGATCTTTTTACGAAAGGAAGTCATCATCGGAATTTATCTATCATCTATATTGTTCAAAATATATTCCATCAAGGCAAAGAAATGAGAAATATCAGTCTAAACGCCCA